ACACACACACATCAAATAATTACTACCCACACTGGCGGCAACATCATTTTCTGTTCATGAGCGGTGGCTAGCTAGATCTAGTGGGGGTGGCAGTGACGGTGCACGGTGGTGACGATGTGCTCTTTCTCCCTTTCGGTATTCACTCTCTCACAACAAGGTGGCTCTCCCTCTTTATTCTTTTTTTATTTCTATCTTAGGGTTTAGAACAAAAATAAGGATGGTTTTATACTTAGGTTAGTGCGCCCGAGGGTTGGATAGAGATTGCACCTAAAACTTAACCCCACACAAGTACAATGTTACATAGATGGTCTATTTGGAAATCATAATTAGTAAAAGGATGGAAAAGTATAGAATTTACACTTTTGTCATGAAACAATTCCGTAATTAGATAGTACCCATAATACAAATTACTAATATATCCATAAGATCCATCTCAATATTAAATAATTATTAAAATATAGAATTGATAAATTGGGAGGAAATCCCTTAAAATCCCTTAAATCCCTTAAAATTTATACTTTCCAAAATTGAAAAATCAACTCCCAAAGTTTTGAAACCTCCATTCTTCTTCCTCGTTTTTCTTTCCTTCCTCCGACCGTCGGGTTTACTTCCTCTGAACCTCCGACCGTCGTCGTTGTCTCCCTTCCTCCCCGGCGGCTCCGCTTTTCTTTGTCGCAGATGATTTCATCTCCTATCGCTTTCGCAAGAGCATTTCATTCCGTCGGTTCCTATTCTCCGGTAGTTTCTGCCTGCATTCGTCTCCGGCCGAAGTCCTCCATTTTTCTCAGTCGCCAGAGCAGTTCATCTCTAATTTGAAGGATTTACACTCCATCTGATAAGTTTCAATTTCTGATTTCCTTTGTTTGAAATATTGTATATGTGAGGATGTATACTATAGTGATTACGTTAGAATATATATTATAACTCAAGTTTTATATATCCAGATATATACTGATGGTGATTTAAAACTAAAAATCTGGTGGATATATATTGCCTACACTATTATACTGGTGGATATATACCGTTAGTGATTTATATCTTGGCTTTCTGATGTTTATGTTATTTTGTGGATATATACTGATAGTGATTATTATTCTGGTGGATATATACAGATAGTGATATATATACTGACGGTGATTTACATACTGCCTACAATATTTACATACTACCTACATACTGAAAGTGTCGTATGGTACTCATCTAGCTCTAAGTATTAACTAGTTTGAATTAGAGCAATAACTAAAGAAGAAAGTTGTAAGATATCAAAGTTTATATGGGATTTAGATTATATCTGGATAAATTTTATATCTCAAAAAGTTTAGTCTATGTTATACCGAATATATTGTATATTCAATATGTTATACTTACTACTTTGTCTTATAGAATTTCATGGATATAGTGACTGAAATTCAGCTAGGATTGTTTGTACTCTTGGCCCTGAAATGAGCATTTAGTATTTTGCATTTTTTATGTAGATATATATTAGTTGGATTACATTAACATGGTCAAGTGCAAAGGGCTACCAAAACAGAAGGAAAGAAGAAGTAATAGGTTACTTAACCAATCTTGCAGCAAGTCGAACAAAAACCCTTTATATATTAATCTTAGCTTATAGGTATACACTACTTTCATTCTATTATTTTGAAGATTTATATAGGTTATAAATACATTGTATTTTTTCAATTGGTGTGCTCTTAGGAGAGCACAGAGGAAGAAACAAAAGAAAAGGATGCTCAGCCATTGAAGTGTACCTTTTACAAAAATTTGTTCGGTAATATGCCACGTTATTAGAAGTACCCACCAATATTCATTTTACCATAACAAGGTGAAAAAGTCAAGACTGAAGTTACTATATGTGATCCTATAGTTGAGTTTCCAAATGAAGATGAAATCGTTGGAACTAAAATAGTTTCTTTTTGCGGTAATACATTTCTTTACCTACCAATCCCAATTGTTCCATTATCTCTTTCATCAAATTGGCATATGACATTTCTTGATGTATAATTAGTTCTGACACTTTATATTCCACGTAATTATCTCTGTGGTTCCAAAATCCACTATGAAAGATGCGTACGGTAATAGAAGTGCTACTTACATGACATTTATAAAAGTACATTTACTTACGTGGGTATAAATTATATTTTACTTGCGTTTATACATAATGTTAATAGTAGATTTCAAAAGTACAAGTAGAATATATGTTATAATAACGAAACAACATGAACATAATTTATACCCGTGTATAGAAATAGCTAAACTGTAATTTAAAAAAAGAAAATAACATTCATTCATACACATATTTCCTTCGATGTATAGATAAACTGTGTTTTTCTTCTCCTTTGAATATTGGCGTAATCAATACATGCTTTCCATTAATTATCTTCTATTAAAAGATAAATAATACAAAAATAATAATAATAATAATTAGACAGTTGAAAACTAGTGGGAGTCATAGATGACCTCAAACACAGTAGAAATAAGACATTGTCAAATTAATCAGCATCTAAACCTCATAAAATTGATTTCATTAAAACAAACCTTGCACTCAAACAACACAATAAAACAATTCGCGTGCAAATATTCAAGCAATATGGGTATGAATGAAGGAATGAATGAATGGTACCTGTTGAAATATTCAAGCAATCAAATAAAAAACTAAAACTCAAATAATGGGTATAAAGAAGAACCATACCAGACAAGCAGTAGCAGAAATGAGAATGATGAGAAGATGTTGCACCCACAATAATTAAGATTTGGATATTTTTTAATTAACAATATTGATAAATAAGAAAAATCAATCTTTTTGAATGAGTAAATTAAGGTGTTGAAGGGGTGAATTAAGAGATTTGAATTGAAAATTAATATGGGACCCACAATAATTAAAGGAATATTATAATAATTTATGGAATTAAATCTTTTATATTTAAAAAAATAAAATAATTATAATAAATGTAAATGCAATAATTAGGGGTAAATTCGAAATTAAAATAAAATCTTACTTGCAGAAATCTAAAAGTGTAAAATTAGAAAATTTTAGACATTTATGTAAATAAGTTTCTAAAACAGCCCTTCGAAGATATTATTCCTTTTATTTTTATTAATTTTTTTATTTAAATGATTAGATTTTATTTTTATCACTTTTTTCCAAATGAATGAAGACGTGATTGAATTGGTCCCAGTTACTCTTCAGGACGGAATGGAAGAAGGGAGGAGATTCTCGAACCAGGAAAAGGATCTAATGACTTCGAAAGAATTGAATGAGGAGTCGTATGAGGTGAAAATCTTATGTACGATTCTGTCGAGTGACAGTAAGGGTGACTTATCTGTCAACTTTTCCACTATCATCCCAAAAAACCAAACTCTGCCTTACGTAAAGTTGTCAGAGTACGCTTAACCTCGGGATTTGAAATCACTGCTTATATACCTGGTATTGGCCATAATTTACAAGAACATTTTGTAGTCTTAGTAAGAGGTGGATTTCAAATCTTTTAGACCCAACCTAAAAAATCTCATACTTTGTAAGCAAAATTTTAAAAAAATTCCTCTCTCACCAAAATTTTCTTTTGTCCGACTTTTTTCCATGCTTTTTTTTTTTTACAATAGCATGGTAAGCATATACTCATCTAAATGGTTATATAATATATACTTTTTATTGTTATATACTATTATGTTATAGAATATATATTCCAACTACCACTATATAATATATTTTTATCCCATAATTTACAGTATGATAAATATATACTACTGCGAAAGGTTATATTATATATAGCCTTTAGTGGTATATACTCAAATATTTAGGTTACGTAATATATAACTTTTGGTGGTATATACTAAAATATTAGGTTATATAATATAATTTACCATATATTCAAAATCTAATCAACTCCCCTAACACGATTTTAGGTTTCAAATTAGAGATTTTAGGGATTTGGGGATTTCCAAACAAAAATCAAGGATTTGATTAAACATGGCTGCACGTTTTAAGGATTTCAAAACAAAAATTAGGAAACCGTCCAAATTCTATTTGATTTTATTTTTTATCCTTATTTAACATATATTAGAAAGAACCTATGAGTAATTTTTCTAATGGATTCCACATGGATCAATCTTCTTGACAATAATGTACATTGTTAAAAAGTTAACCTTATTGTGTAATTTGAATCCTAAAATAGACTAGTTGTGTACCAATCTCTTGTTACTAATATAGACTCGCAGAGATATTAATATTTGCAAGGTGGATGTAGGTCCTTTTTGGGACTGAACCATTATAAATCTTGTATCTATTTTCTCTATTCCCTTGCTTATTAACTGCGGGAAATTTATTAGAAATTTGTTGGAACATTTCTATGCATATTTACCTTATAATAGCATTTACAAATTCTGATTTTAGCTTGTAAAGAAGTTATTAAAGAGAAAAACGATTCTGTATTTTACATAAAATCATAACAATCGAGGCCAAACGACACATTAGAAAACTTAGGCGTATGCTCGAAAGTGCTTCAAAATGTGTCAGTAGGTGTGTGAGCAGGAATCCCTCCATGTTCGCTCATGCAACTAGGAGTTTGCTGCTTTAATGAACCAAACCAAGTCGTGAATGTCTTAAGTTTAAGTAGGAAGACAGAGCTAGTGACATTGAAGTGTGAGATATTGACAGCCACCAACAATGTCATGAATATCGTTCTTCATCAAATACGAGATGAATTTGAAAGAAGACCCGCAAGAATCCTTGCACCAACCAAGGAATAAAAAACTTGATTTGGATAAAAGATGGGTTGTTAGGCTCACAAAAGGAAATCCACATTTTTTTTCTTAACTAGCAGTCAAACTCAAGATAAAAGATTCTTCATTAATTTAGAGAAGAAAAAAAGAAAAAAAGAACTCCCTAAATTAAGAAAAGGGTTCCCAAGCTAACGTTCAAATATTTTAAATCTTGGTTCGGAGAGATAGCCTCTCGCCTTTTCGCTTCGGGAAGCCGTTGCCCCACCGAACCTCCCGTCTCTTTTCAGTTTCGTCTTTGGTTTACACTCTTTAGTCTTTATTCCATCATCTTTTTCCTTTGTTCCTTCGATTTTGATTCTCTGTATTTAGGGCTTCTCTTAGTTCTTTAAATTCCTTTGTTTGCTCACCATAAACCGTAGAAAGCCCCAAATTGTTGGGAAGATTTCGGTCGTCCTGCAGCGAATTCAATTCCTTAGAGGCTACAATTTAGGGCTTTTCTGAGTAAAATAATTCGGAATGGCGAAGACACCGTCAATTGGAAGCAGAGTGCGAAACAAGCTAGCAGATATTACGAATTCGAAATCAATCAAACCTCACGTGGAATATGAAAGTGCTTCGAAAACTTTGCACCCAAATCAAGAAGTCATCGATCAGCTGGTGAAGGTGCCGATCTTACCTCCCTTGGCTGTTCTTGAGATTCTTAATTGTTCTTTAATCATAACGCGTTGTTCCTGAGATATTTCTTGGATTGGGTGTAATTTGTGGAACAGGAAAATATGGCTCTGATGAAACTTATCGTTGAGAGGAAGTATCCTACCGGATTTTGATTTTCTGTACCATATTTAGAGTCCTGAATAAGAACTTACATTTTTCACGTTAAATTATCACTAGTTGGTTCAATCAATATTCGGGTTAATAATGATTAACACTCTCAAATAGTAGAGACTTATTAGAATCAAAATTGGATTAATGAACTAAATAGACACAACCATCCAAATTTGAGAATATAGTTTCTAATTTGACCCAACTCCAAAATTCTTCTTATTTTCTAGTGAAATCAAACCTTTCAAAAGTATTTTCCTGAACTTTTGAACAGTAAAATTATTGACCTGAGTGGAGCAGAGTTGCAGAAACTTCGGGCAAGTATTCAGAAACTGCAGCTTCAGAATTGGCATCTGGCTCAGTCAAACAGTCGCTTTTTAGCAGTATGATGATATTTATCCCTCTGCTGAGTTCATTTCCATGGACACCTCTAGATAGGTAAATTAACTATACATCGTTTTCCTTTTGCAGGAAATCAATTTTGGGAGAGATAGAGTAAGTTTTCAAAGTCTTGAATTGATTTCTTGCTGCACTTATTGTAGGAAAATTAAATCCTGATGTGTTCCAGGTCAAATCATTGGAGCATGAGATTGAATGCAAAGAGGCCTTATTAAGAGCCAAGTGTTTGAATCTGGAGGTAAGGTAGAATAATTAGGGACAAAATCAGCTGTCGGAATTTTTTCCATCATATATCTGTTCACGGTCATGTCAAATGAGTTAATATTTGTGTAGGCATGCCACCTCATTATTCAATTATCAATAGCCACAATTTAAAGTTTAGGAACTAAAATAATTATAACCAACAAAATTCTGAATTTCTAATTTAATCAAATTCTTGTCAAGATAACTCACACACAGTTATGACAATCTTACTTACACGAATGGGATATGTTCAATCAGTCGTACCGCTTTCGCCCTGAGATCTAAGGTAACTCTCGCTAGGAAAAAAATCACAAATAAGTACTTGAAATGCTCTTCTAAATCAACAATTCCTGCTTTTTCACATCACTATTCTGTACATTATAGACTAAGGAAATAACTAGACCCAACTAGCTTTCGGGGAAGATTGAAGTTTCTTTTTTCCCAAAACTTAGATGAACATGAACATGTTTTTTGAAAAGTATTAAACCAATTTTCATCGATGAACAATGGAAAAGGCTTGTATTCCTCAAGAAACTGCTACATCTTCTGACAGGGGAAAGCAGGGATGATGAATAATGGAAATTCTGTATGGCAGGTAATTGGTAATTTCCCTTTTTCTTAAGGTATCTGTTGTATTCCTCTGGTTTAGGCCTCACACTTTGTTCTAACAAATTGGTTAAGATAATTTCACTTATTTTCATGGCTGCAGGAAGGAGAGAAGCCAACAGGGCAATCTTCACTTAAAACTGACATCAAAGCTTGCAATGGAAATAAAAAGCACGCCGGAAGAACTAAAAGCCAATGTAGGTTCATTGATATCAATATAACGATATGGACATAAGTGCTTTTAAAAGTTAAAACAAGTGTTTCTAGAATAAATAAGTGACTCCTAAAAACTCATTTTGATGTTTGGTTTTACTCTTTTGATGACAGAAAAAGCTCTCTATATTTGTTTGTCTGCTTATCTTACTTATTTGTTGTGGCACTTTGGAAAACTGTAGCAATGGGCCCTTCAACTTCATACTCATACTCATACTCATCAGTGGCGGATAAAGAGAAAGTTGAAGGCAAAAGGTAACGCAATATTTCTACTAGTATTCTTCAGAGTTTTGTTGTTTGCCTTATTTATTTTTACTTTCAGGCATTGTGTTAGAAGACAATCTGGTAGATTTAGGAATCAAGTGAGAGACCCTGAAGAGAACTTGTTTGAAATAGAAGACGTGAAATTTCCTGCTACTGGAAAAGAAGAAGAAGAAGAAGAGAGGAAGAACAATATTCAATTGGAAGAAGCTCCATTTCTGCCGCAACGATATTCAATTGGAAGACCATTACGCAGAGCAGCTGAAAAGATTCAATCCTACAAAGAATGAGAACTGAGTTCCAGTATACGGTGTATGTATTTTATGATTATAACATCTTATGGTTTGCTGTTTGTATTTTTTTGTGGGTAGAATGCTGATTCTGTTGCAATTTGTTTCCTTGTATGTATTTGTAATTATAGTATTTTGTGGATTTGTGGTATGTGATGAAGTTGTTATGTATCAAATGATTCTAATTTCTATTAGAATATTATTAATATGAGGAACGACCTCGAACCCATCACCTATTTGAATATTAGATTGATTAGTGATGTGTGTGATGATCCTTGATTTCTCGTCTTTCATTAGTATTCGATTGCTAAGTTTGAGAGGGAGAAATGTTTATGAGATAGGAGTTTATTTTGTAAAGGTGAGGATTATAAGAAAAGTTTTAATTTCTTAACCGCTCAAGTCGGAACTATTAGGAGTATGATAATGTTGATAAAAGTATTGATCCAAACGAGTATGATAAACGAATAATCAAAACTAAGACCAAGTAAATAAAAATTTATTAGTCTCATACAAGTTATATAAATTATTATTTTACTAATGCACCAGGAATAACTATATAAATGACACCAATTTAAGTATAGTTTTATTACTAATAACTTTTAAATTCCTACCCTTACATTTTGTTTGTATAAATGAAAATACATATAGTCTATGAAATTTCGAAGTTTTATTTATATAGTCTTCGTATTTTAAAATGTTTGTAATAGGTCTTAAAAAAAATTATAAAAATAGTTAGTTGCAAGGGATAATTGACCAAACTAAATGAGCATAAGTTAATGATATTGAAATAATTGCTATACAAGTTTAAATGCAAATCTTTGGTAATTTTAAAATAATTGATTTGCCCCCCTAAACAATATTTGGACCAGGCTTATTCGAAACAAAATATTGCAAAATTTTCAATACTAGATTATTTACTCTGTTTAAAAATTCCAATACTAGGTTATATACAAAATACTCATTATATTGTGATTTTGTAATAATACAGTTAATATAAATCAAATTAGGTTGGATTTTTATTTATTCGTAGTTATCTATAAAAACATTTAGAACGTAAATGAATAGTGGTTTTGTATAATTACTCAAACAATGATACTCATAATATAAAAATTTCAAATAGACGTATTAAATATTCACTATTAAATTAAATACCTAACACATATGTTAAAATTTTGAAACAAAACTTTATATTTACTCTTATCTCCAAGGAGTGAAAGAAAGTATATATATATATATATATATATATATATATATATCAATCAGTATAATGGGAAATAATATTTTAGTTACAATTCTATTTTGGTCTCTGTATTTTATGGCTGTATTTTTAGCTCTATACTTTTTACTTTAGTTCATTTAAGTTTCTGTATCTTTAAAATGTTCATTTTGATTACTATACATTAAAAAAAGTGATCATTTTCGTTCCTATTTGCAAAACTTTAACACATATTCTATACATAACGAAAATCCTTTAGTATAAAGTAATAGTTACATCTTAAAGAAATATATTAAGTGTAGTGTCGTGTTGAAATTGTGATACAAAAATGAGATTAAAAACAAATTAAAGGATCAAAATAGTTAGTTTAATATTTTAATGAACAAAAGTTGAAACTACATAGAGCAAATAGTATTTCAAATAGTGTGTAATTACCATCCGACCCAAGCCATCGTAGGCCTTAAAAGTAGTAGTCCATTGGTCAGTTTTGGGCCTAAATATGGGCCCAAAATATCAGGTTTGGAGCCTATGATAGTGACATGTGGGCCACACCATGGTGTTTCCCATTTACAATCCAAAATAAAAAGAAGGAAAAAAAATGGAATTTTCAAAAATAATTAGGTATGGGAGCATATTAAAAAAAACAGCAGCCATGTGGCTAAAGCCTTATTTTCAAAACCACGTCACTGTCAACCAAAATGCTGTGACAAATCCACCAAAAACCAAAAATAATAATAATAATATCATCCTTATAAACCGTGTGGACCCCACCCTTCTGCTTCGACTTTCTTCAACATTTTTATTTCCCAATTTCTTCTCCTATTTTTTCCCCAACTGAATACTCAAAAATCCAAATCGAAAATGAAGTTTATTATATAGTTTTTGTTAGATATATGATAAGATTTCATGATGCATAATTCAATGTCACATGCTTCATTCCATTATGTCTTTCTTTGGGTTTGGCCCTCAAATCTTTTCCTTTGTTTTTATTTTATTTAAAAGGATTTTTTTTTCTTTTTCTTGGTGGTTCGATTATGATGTTTTTTCTTTTCTTTTTTAACCGTGTTGGCCGGTAGCCGAAATTCAAGTCACTTCTTTTATATAGTGTAAAATGTAATTGAGTTGTATAAGAAAATGAGCTACAAATCTAGGAGAGTGGAGGAGAAAATTCTTCATTTTCTAGATTTATTATTACTTTTCAGGAAATGAAAACACATCTCATCTTATTGTCATCTTTACGTTATATCTTTGATGTTGAATGAATAATGATGAAAAGGATAATCTTATTTAATAGGATAAACTATAAATCTAGTTCTATAAACTTCGATGGTTTTATTATCTATTCAGTCCTCCAATTTTAAAAGCTTTCAATTTAAATTTTACGTTTTTTTTACAACAAATATAAGGATGATGAATTAAACCTCCAATCTCTAAATAAAAAGTAAGATGCCTTAACCATAGTGCTATGCTTATATTGACCCCATTAATGAAAAATTCAAATGATAGGTAGTTCGTGATAATGAACACGACTAGTTAAATGAAAATATGTGACCTAGATTTATTTATTTATGGACTAGAATGACATGTTGATTAAATAAACATTGACTAATTTAACATGACACGATAAATAAATGACTCAAAATAATGAACAAAATAATATATCTGTCATGATATAAAAAAAGATTTTGATATCGAAAATTTAAGGTTAAAATTACCTCATTAAATTGAATACAGAGACAAAAATGAATCCTTAAAATGTTTTT